AGACTCGAATCCCAACCAGTGATGTGCCCTGGTGTAGGCGTCACGCGGCGATGGATGCGGGATATTCCTACTGCGCGTCAGTTTCCGATTGCGGCAGGGAAGCTCGTTGGGATCGTTGCATATTTTTTTTTGATCTTTTTCCCATACTTCCGCATATATTTTGCCAGTTTTCGATCATTTACTACCTATTGCTGTCCTGGCTGACGATATGGAGCATCAACAGCACCCTTTCTCGTCCCTTCAATATTCAAATTCGAATGGCTAAGCAGGGAACTCGTCTCTCGCGGTGCGGTGTCGTTCGTTACGACTGCCGGGATCAGAACACACGTCGTGATTTCTACCATTACTTGCTCGCTTCCTGAATCGATCGCTAGCTAATCACTATTTCGGTAGAAAGGCAGCTGACGGCGAGTTTATTCCACTCTCTGACAGCGCCCCGATCAGTTGCGACGATAATACACTCCGTATCTCGCGATATGACGGGTCGCAGTTGCGGAATTAGGGAGCGTGCGTACCGGTGAACTCGAAAATTCCTGCTTTACCCGACTTTGTCGGGCTTCACTTAGTTGAGTGTCACTGGCTTTCGAATGCAAACGGTGAATCTTCTCGTTAACGGAAACCGCCAGTTTTTTCGAGGCCGCTGTCACGCGCGCCAATAGGTCCGTAATTACGACTTACCTGCTTCCTGGATACAGAGTGTATATGTGGCGAAGATGAGAGAAAAAAATTAAGGATTTTGACTGGCTTTATGGTCGCCTCCTGCTTGTTTGCGAGTCCGAGTATCCCTGTCTACCACCTCATTATATCGCTAATGTATTTTGAAATTACGATTAATGTATTAATCGTAATTTCAAAATAGTGGGATCCACAGCTGGGTATGTGACAAGACAATCGTAATTCGCCGCGCTACTGGGCGTCGCGTGCAACGTTGCCCCTTCAAATGGCCAAGTTTTTTAGGTGGTATAGGATGGCAATAGGCAATGTGTAATCAGAATGAGCCATAATTCTCCACGATATCTAACCCACATGAAATCCGGTACTCCAGTCGATAGGGGTAATGCAAGTTGAGATAAAACCGCACCCATTGCTGGGCGCTACGAAGCATCAAATTACGATTGTCTTGAACGTCTCGCCATCTCGCCGAAAAGGTAAGCTTAGTCCTATATATTCATGGTGATTATCTTGTAGACTGAAGGTATTGATCCAAGAAAGCAATTTAGTAGATTTTGCTTGGAGTGTCGTAGGACTTTTCGTCCCGCCTAACATATTCACTCCTAGGTGGGCTACGACGTATTAGGTGATGAACATACTAGCCATGATGGGCTGGTCGCTACAAGTCGCTATGTGGGCTAATCCCACAGGATTTATAGATCCCTTCCGAAATGCGCCACGGATTGAACCTTGACTGAGACGGTGTAGCCCCTGAATTCGCATTTGGCTTGTACATGGGCTTGCTGAAGCTAATGTACATGCCGTGCTTGTACATGTCAGACGAGTCTATGCCCGGGAAGAAATGGAAGATTTCGTGGTCCGAGCAGGACTGCTTACCCAAAAACTGCACATATTAATGGCACAGCTCCCTAGCGCCCACTTTGCTTGAGTTCTGAGAGGAAAGGAATCAGACAAAGGTCATTTACAGCTCACCTGCTGAAGGACGAACTCAACAACCGTGTGTTAGTGCTGATCAACCCATTCAGTGGGCAAAAACGAGCCGAAAAACTATGGATGGATCATGGAGCAAAAGTGTTACGAGCTGCCGGAATTCGGTCTGACATCATTCTTACGGGTGACTTTTGTTCATGAAGACTGGATAGCGCTTGTTCCTAGGTGCCAAGTCAATGTAAAGATTACTTAACTAGTGAGCAATAACATAATTTCGAAATCTTTAGAATATCCTCGACATGCCACGAAAATCATGCTCGATTTGGACATCGATCAGTATGACGCTGTTTTAGTAATGAGCGGAGATGGACTTATGACTGAGGTATAAGTAGTCAAGTTTCACATCAAACTTTCTGCCCCTTTGTTCTATTCTTTTCCCCAACAGTCAGCAGTTGGTTCTACAATGACCTTGGAGTAGTGCAAGTTAGGTTTCGTTCATCCTTCGCGGCAGCGTCTACCAGCGACCAGTTGCGTCCACCAACGACCAACAGCGTCCAGGAGTGGAGAGCATTGGGAGATAGGAGGGTAGCAGACTGCTGGTAGAGAATGGGGCGATAGGATGGTACCAGCTGTCTGCTACCTCCTATCGCCCCATATTTCCACTCCCAGACGCTGCTGGTCGCTGGTAGACGCGGGCAGACGCTAGACCGATACCTTCACTTCCTTAGCCATCCAGGCGCTGCTGGTATCTGTAGTTTCCATGTCGCTGACGCTGCCGGACGCTCGGAACGTTGGTGGGCGCTATTGTTCGCTGCTGCAAAATGAAGGCAGCCTTAGCATACTAGACAAGTCTGGTGCCAACTAGCCGATCTCGAAGGCTTAGAAGACTTGTTTCCATGAGAATCGGCATCACTTACAGCTGCTCACTTTCTCTCAACAACATGAGCCAAACAGTGTACTTTGGAGCTGTAATTCAATAATTTTCAGGTTATCTGGGGACTTCTCATGAGAAAAGATCGTGATCGAGCACTGAAGTTTCCTCTCTGTCACGTTCCAGGCGGAACCAGCAATGCTCTAGCAGCTGCGATTTGCTACGCCTGCAAGTGAGAAGTTCCCCTTTTCAAGATGTTCTACAAAACTGTTTCCAGCTGAACCGTGTCAAGGGGTCGAGTTCGTCGCAAAGCCAGCCAGGTTCCCTCCGAATGGGGTCGCATGCCAGCTTCCACAATTAGAGGAGAAAGGCTGGTGTCGCACCAACTCTGCCTCCTGGCACGCCCAGCATACACACGCAGCGAACGTGACTGTACTTGCACTGTCAATGTAGTAGTGCAAAAACACATGCTTCTTGACATATCAGGCGAAACTAATATTTTAATTTTTCAGTGAGCCGTTTTCTCCCCGAAACCTCTTCATCCTTGAATGCTGTCTCATGGTAACTCGTCCTCACTACATCCCCCTTAGGCTGTATGTTGTCGAAACCCAACACGATGGCATGAGGTCGATGTTTATGAGCGCGAACTGGGGCCTCATCGCTGACATCGGTAAGTCGCGCTCCGAGTGAATGGGATACACTTCGTGCCAAACTCAGGATTACTTTTGCAAACTCCAATTAATTTTCACTGCTTAATGCTTGGTTTTGTTTATTGGAAGACTAATTGGCCTGATGTGAGGATCTAAGGAGTCTATTAAAACCCTCTAAGAGTCTATCAAAGACCCATGGCACATCAGTCATCAGTGAGCATCTCTACCGGAATTGGAACTGAAAACTGGGAGCAGATGGCCATCTACGCTGAATCTCCAGATAATTATTGTTGCGGAAAAGCTAGCTAGAACCGATTTTTCGCCTCATCTGAAGCGAGGAGTGCACCCTGTAGTTTGTACAGTTGATATCGTCGCACTCAGTAGGGGGCGGTATCAAGATGAATAGAATGAGCCCACTTGCAATTCCTTTTGCAAGTGGTTGTTTTCTTCCTATATCGACCGCTAAACGATAAGCTATTCGTAGAGAAAGGCAGCTGGAGGCGGGCTGAGTCCGCCCTTTTGAACACTACCCCAACTGACTGCGATCGTATCCACTGTACCTCCAAGGGTTTGTACCTCTAACCATAAGAACTTTAAAGCAATAACTTCATTCTCGTTACTCTGTAGATCGAAATGTAGCATTCATCAAGGTTACTTCCAAATCACGGGAGGATCTTCTGTACAAAAAGCATTCCAGATTTGGGTAGTGAACGGTTTCGATGGGCTGGCATGATTCGACTGCACATAGAGGCTTCTCTCCGAGTACTGCGTGAGTACTTGTACTTTCATTATGTGTTGTACCGAATAGTCATATGTAAGTGGAACGTGTAGAACGGCAACAGGTCCACGTCTTGTAGTTGAGAGAAATTTTTGTAAAATCCCCCTCTCCCTCTCCTCAAAGTTCATCCGCTGAAGTAGGACCCCTGCTTCTCCATGCTGTACCTCCCATCTGACTAAGTTTTCCCAACTTCCTGCCACTTTTTCC